TTAAACCAGTCGGCTGTTGAAACTTACGGTTGTGTGAACTTGTGGTATTACCAGTTGACCGTCGAAACCCCTTGCTGTGTGAAGTTGCTAAATTACAAAAAGAAAGAAAAAGAAAATTGGAAGTGTGATAGGACGCTGCAAGTTTCGATACCTGCTGGTCGCCGAGGACATCGGAAGCAGCCACGGCGGGTGACAGTCGCCGTTGCCCTTGGCTTCGGCGAACGGTAGGTGCCCCTCCCCGGGTTTCCTCACAACTTTGGCGCCGTTGCCGGGGAGGGGAGCAGCACCCTCAAGGCCGCGGCATTCCCCAACCAACGGGGGTGCACGGGCTAATTAGTCAAACACTAATTTGTTTTTTTTTTCTTGATTAGTTTTATTTTTTATAATCATTTTATTTAGTTTTTTTTTAAATATCTCCTGATCCGCGCGCTTTTGTGCGAGCCGCGCTGGGAGCAAAGTTCGCCCTCTTGTCGAGGCAAACGTTTTGAGATGTTTTTTGAAAAATTCTAACGGTTAGAAAATAAGATATGGAATTTTTTGTATTTTTCTAATTAAAAATCCCAAAAATCATGAGTTGAAACTTCTAATTGGTTTTTCCTCGATATCTCCTGATCCGCTCGCTTTCGTGCGAGGCGCACTGGGAGCAAAGTTCGTCCTCTCGTCGAGGCGAACGTTTAAAGATGTTTTTTGAAAAATTCTAACGGCAAAAAAAAAAAGATACGGGATTTTTTGTATTTTTTGATTAAAAATTCCTAAATTTTGATTTTCGTTTTATTGAAATAGTCGGAAAAATAAGTGGAATTAGGGGAACTCCACAGGGACCAAAGTTGGTCCCTGTATTTTTCCCGACATTTTGAGACCCTAGTCGGGAAAAACGGACTTCGTTTGGACAAACGGGGAGCTCCAACAGATAGAAAAGGGGGAAGAAAATCAACGAGAAATTGAATTTCTTTGTAATTTTGTTTAAATTAAAAGAAAAAGGAATTTAAAAATGTAATCCAATAATTTTTTCTTCTAAAACTAGTGAAAGGTAAAAAAAAAATTCTCGCGTCGAATAGGGCTTTGCGGTGTTCGTGTGGTTGCGCGCAAAACCTAAAACCGTAATTAGGGAAAACCCTAATTAGGGAGAAGTCCGAACCCCAATTTTGAGATAAGCGGGTAGATAGAGGGAAGCCATAGCTTCTAGCTTCCGTATTTAATACGGATTATTTTTTTGTCAAATATATCCCGTAAGATTGTGGAAATTAAATCGGTAAGTTTTGCCCCATTAAATAATTAAGAATTATTTTACTTTTGATTTTGTTATTTAAAATCGATAAAAAATTGAAATAAATATTAAAAATTGCGTAGGGGCATTTGTTTGACTTCAATGCTCTTCATATCTACTTTACCTATTTGAGGGACTTTTTTCCGAACCCCATCTCACCGGTGGGGAAGGAAAACTGCTGTAGAAATTTCTCGAAATTTCCCTTTTAATTTAAATTTTTGGTAATTAATTAAAAAAAAATATTTAAAAATCGAGTTAAATCAATTTTCTTTTTTTTCCATTATTCCTTTTGATATTCCCTCTTCGGTAGCGCTGTTTGAGGGCTTCGCCCGAACCCGATCCCAACGGGGGGAGGCGAAACGCTGCCGAAATTTTAATAAATTCCCCAAATTTTATTTCTACCTCTAAAAATCATCGGACTCGGCGGGCTTATATATGTATTGATCCTTAATATATATAAACTAAGAAAGAAATTTTATCTTAACTAAATACATTTTCTTTAATTTATAATTGAAAAATACAAATGAATTCCCTAGAAGAAGAAGGGAAAGAGACGTTGTGGTAACCTGGTTTCGAGTGAACCTACTAGCTTGTTCCCGAAGGCGTGAGGCAAGCGACGGGAATTTTCAGTTATTAATCTATACCTCTCTCTTGCTGCGTTCTCTCTAGCCGCCAGTTGAATGTGGCCGCGGGTGCAAGTAGAGGTCTATGGGACTACCATTGACTGGGACTTGGAGCCCCCTGAACTCATAGAGGGGGATCTGGTCGAGCTTTCGATCCCCGGGCGCAACATTCGACACGCTGACGGCCAGTTTGCGTGGAGGTCCATAATCCTGTCCGAGGACGTGTGGCTTTGGACGTACAGAGAGCACCGGCCGGGGCAAGGAGTGGGCGTAGTGAGAGCCTACTTGTATTTGGGACCGGGTGCGGTCAGGGAGGCTGTGGTGGGCCTCGCGACGACAGGGACTAGTGGCACAGTTAACAGGGCGTTATGCTACCTAGGGGAAGAGGTGGCTGCCTTCCGAGCAGAGGACTCAAGCGACCCGTTGACCCTATTTCACGGACGCCCTCTTCTTGATATCACGGGCGAGCTGGTGGTAGCACGGGACGGGTTTTTCCCGTACAGCGTTAGGAGCCTGCGGGCGATAGTTCCGACTTTCGTAGTAGAGAGTGTCTTTTGAGGTATTGGTGGAGTGGTCGAGACATACCTGGCTTATCAGGATCTCAAGATCCTGGCGAGAAGGTCTGCCGACCTAGACCATATCTATTATTCGCTCGCGACCGGTCGGCCTCGTTGGGGAGACGAGAGGGTTCAACTTATAGAGCTGATCCGCTCGATAGATGACGAGTGGCCCCAGTCTCCGTGCGTTTGGGATTGGCTAGATCGTGAGCTCCGAGCAGGCCCCGAGTATGTGACCTGCATCGGGCGGCTCTTCTCAGACGACTGGGGGAGCTGGTGGAGTGAGGACGCCGGGCGACCTCTGATATACGGCCATCAGTTGACGGAATACTACCAGGCTATAGGACAGGCGCCATACCGCGTCGAGGACGAGTTTGACGACGAGGGTTGGGAGCGAGAGGAGGACGAGGAGCTGTGGGTGCCAGACTAGGTCGACCCAGAGAGTGAGGTTGACGAGGAGGAGATTGACGTTACAAACGCTAATTTTCCCAGGATAGGAGTAGCAGTCCGGACGTAGGAGGTAGAGGAGTACATTAGGGCGACGGTTGAGTGAGCTTAGCTACTGATCCTACTCGGCCATACTGGAGCTGAGTGCGAGAGTTGTTTCAAGGGTTAGCAATGTCAAGAGATGGGGTGCATCGGAGGGAGTAGAGTGATGATGACCGAGAGTAGGAGAAGAGATGAGGAGTGATTCAGTGGCCTGGTTAGCTTATGTTCTCTCACGAGATTCCGAATCGTATAGTGTGAGGACGCTTGTGAGACCCAGAGAGACGGCGGTTGGATACGACATACCACTTCCTGTGGCGTTAAAAGAGGCAGGGCGTGTACCGATACGATATTTGGGAACGTGGCTCGCAGAGGGACTCTTCCTTTGGACATTGATATTACGAGACGAACGACCCGAGAGGACTCATGATCTAGAAGGGGTCGGACATCTGATAGCGGATAGAGCACATGATTTAAAGATAGGACTAACGCTCGCAGGGGCGAGCAGGAGTTGGTGGAGAAGCGAGTTGTTAGCCAGAGTGATCGTTAATCAGCAATTGGCGAGACTCTCTGGAGGGAGGACGAGTTGGAGCTGCTTGGTATACGGTCCACCACATCCGACCCTCTACCTGAGAAAAGATTGGCGATTTACACTTCCTACCTTCGTGATAGGGCAGACCTATGGGAGCGTGGATCGTTTGAGTAGAGCAGTGGACCACACACTTTACGCGCTCTGGGAGGGCTTAGCGCCCACTTCAAGGAAGTATACTACGCCATTTGTGTGAGGTGGGGCCCGCCCAGTAAAGAGACGCTTGACGACATCATAGATGTTACGAGCTGGGTGGACTGTCTGAGGCCTATCGATCTGATTAGGTACTGCAGGAGACGGACAGAGATCGATTACGCGGGGCTAGAGGACGCGAGATTTCTCTTCGAGGCCGCAACTTAGGGAATGCCGACAAGGACGACCATGGTGATGCGTGTAGAAGAGCAACTGGTAAGCGCAGGATACACTGTGACAGTACTTCTCCGAGCGTACGTAGACGAGGACTTGACAGCGAGTAATGCAGACAACGAGCTAGGGATTCGATCGACGATCGTAGAGCTGATGTACTGGCACGGGTGACCTTCCAGACCTCGATTTCCTATGATGTGATGATATGGTCTCATAGTTATATGCGCGCGGAGCACTACCACGATGAGACGGTAGCGGAGGCTAGAGCGAGGGAGAGAGTGTGAGCTGGGAAAAGATGTGGACTGAGTATGGAAGAGGAAAGTGAGGCAGTCGGAAGGGTCAGAAAGCGCGTTAAAGAACCACTATTGAACCAAGTAAAGAAGTTGGAAAACAAGTTAAAGGAGATCTGGTCGTGAGGGAAGAAAGATGGATTATCCAAGCGTGAAGATAACCGAAGCTAGGAAAGCTGGAGAGTTAGGGAGAGTTGTAATAGATGGTGCAATACTCAGGGTGTTAGCCGCTCACAACCGGTACTGGAAGGAAACGATAAAGACTTTAGAGGCGATAGACGATGATGGAGATGAGGAGGAGTTTGAGACATTTTATGACATATTGAAGCGGTCGGCGATGAGGTTACAAGTGGTTATAGCACTAACTTACCTCAGCTGCTAGATAGATGACCACGTAGCTGTCTGGGAGATAAGGGAGTGGAAATAGAAATTGGAAGCTCTTGGAAGGATAGTGGAAGCTAGAAAGGTTGATGGGCGACTTTGGATGGCAGTAGGAGGGCCTTTAGCGGGCTAACCGATTCAGGACACGGCTAGGAGAACTAGCAAGGAGGACGGAGATAGACGCTCGGAGACTCTTGAGGGGTGTTGATCAGGAGACATTGGCTAGGTTTGGGGTACGGGATACTGGAGGTGGTAATCAAGGCAGTCGAGAGCTAAGATTGGAGGCGGACGCGAGCGTGACAAGGAAACGGGTCCGGGCTGCCGCAAGTGTCACAGGTCTGAGCTGCAGCGACTGTCATAGGGTCGGGCTGTAACAGTTGGCTAGAATACCTAACTGCATCTTCTGGCGGTCCAATGGAACCCGACACGATGGGGCCACAACCGACCACGGGCGAAGCGGGAGAGGAGTACAGGACATCGCCCGATCGAGCACTGAGGGATCTGAAGGAACGAATTAGGCAAGAAGCACCGCTGAGATGGGGTGACCAAACCAATGACGGAGGGCCCAACATAAGAGGCGAACCAGTTGCGACAGAGCCGCAGGAGGCTCTAAAGACGGGTACCTCGAGCGGACGACGAGAAGCGACGAGGCGACGCTCCTCCGAGTACGAGCGGAGGGAGACCATAGCGGACAGGCACAGAGACGACTGGAGAGAGAATTTGAGGGATTCCTATTGGAGGGACAGAGATAGAGACAGGGCGCCGCCCAGGCGAGTCTTCGACCCCCAGACAGGGGAGTCACATCCGCTCCCTTACGAGAGCAAGGATCGCTATATTATTACGCACAAGGYCTCAGAGCCTCCTACCTTCAGGGGCTATGGTATGACAGAATATCTGGAGAAGTGGGAGCTTCACGACAGCCGGAGTCAGTGGTCGGAGGAAGAGATTATAGAGAACTTCCTATTTAATGTGGACCCAAGTCTTGGTAGGGAAGTTAAGGAAGCTCGACCGAAGGATGGCAAATGGACTACGTACAAGAAGAACCTCGTTGAGCTTTACAAATTGGAGGATAACAAGTATTCCATCAAGGACCTTGAAACAATGACTCAAGATGAAGATGAGAGCGTACGGGCATTTGAGATGCGTTTCCAAACGATCTCCGACGTGCTGATGAAGAAGGGGAAGATCTAAGAGGTCGAGCGCTGTACTATCTTCATCGGACACTTGTCCAAAGGTAGGCAAAAGAGTATACTTAGAGTTCTTCCGCGCGACAGGCTTGATTTCCCAGAAGTCCTAAAGCTCGCGATAAAGGCAGAGGCAGACGATTACAAGGACTTGGTGTGGAGAGGGATGAGGAGACGTGACTTCTCTCTCTACAAGGAGTATGCCACTGATAGATGTCCTGATTTCAAGGATTATCCCTGGTCGGAGAAGAATGAGGCTGTGGCTGAGGAAGTGAAGGAGATACGGGACATGGTGAAGGGATTAACGGGACAAGTTACAGAGATTGTGACCACTACAGGGGTCACGGCCTACCGGGACAAACCTGGAGGGCCCTATTCACTTCGCTGGGACCGTAGGAACAACGATCCCTGGAGTAGTGTCGAGGATAGAAATCCTCGGACGCTGACTGATTATCGTACAAGGGGAAGAGAGAGAGACGATGAGCCATGGCAACGTAGGGACGATGAGATAGACCAAGACCGCAGAGATCGTGAGCCGTTTGTGCGAGCAAGGAGGCTGAATGATTACCCGCGAAGCCCTTGCTATGAGGTCGATCGGGGTAGAGGCGACTCCCGCGGCCGATGGGAGACAGATCAGGGCCGACGAGATGGATATAGGGACGACAGATACGAGAGATCGGACCGAGGTGGATGTAGGGACGACAGATACGAGAGGTCGGGTCGAGATGGCTACAGAGGAAGTAGGTATGAGAGAGGAGATCGGGACTGGGAACGACAAGATGGGTCACGCGGACGGTTTGAGCGCGGGGGAGATGCGAGAGAGCAACGCGACGAGTCGCGGGGGTGGTACATCCGAGGGGACCGACGCGATGAGTCACGAGGACGATATGACTCGGGGGACCGCCGGAATGATTCGCGAGGGCGGTATGAGCATGGAGGGTCTGGAGGAGACCGCCTCAACGATTCGCGCGGTCGGAATGAGAGAGGGGGATATGGCGCATCATCAGAACTATATCCAAAGTCGCCTGACCTCAAGGCGGCCAGGGGTTCGATCTCTAGAGGCGCAGACGACAGGGCATCTACTCCCAGGAACTCATGCGTCTACTGTAGAGGAGAAGATCATATCAAGAGGGATTGGCCGGACCTCAAACGGACAATAAATGAGGGACTTGTCGTGCTTGACGACCGCAAGTACGTCAAGTGGGCAGATGATCTGGGAGATTTATCGATGTTCCCCTCGATGAAGGAGAATGTCGAAGCAAGGAGAATAAAGACGAGTAAATGAATGGAGCCGGTCAAGAGTCAGAGCATCAAGATAACCTTTGAGGGGGATATCGCGACCACACCCATAAGGGTGGCAGCCACCAAGTCGGCAAGAGGGTCTACATCGAAGAAGACTGACACGGACTACGTGATGACGGAGAAGGACGGGCAGCGGGTCGATGGAGAGGAGGTTATCCTTTCGCCGCGAAAGAGGGGAGTGAAGAAGTTCTTAATGAAGAGTTCGCTGGACGAGATTGATACGGTCGAGTCACTGAGGCGGGCCCTTCGGCAACCCATGCAGTGCTCTATTCTGGAGTACCTGGCGGCATCGAAGCCGGCTCGTGATGA